CCCCAAAACCCCAAAACCCCAAAACCCCAAAACCCCAAAACCCCTTTGGGTGACTTTTTATTTCAGATTCACAGCTTAATTAGTACATAATGGAGAGATTTGCTTTCTTCTTGGACTGGACTTGGGAGATACCTTCAATAAAGTCTTCGTGTCTGAGGGTATCACCACCTCTTCTTAAGGCAACCATACCAGCTTCTACGCAGACAGCTTTGAGCATAGCTCCGTTGAAGTCTTCAGTTGATCTTGCTAATTCCTCAAAGTTGACATCTTCTTTGTCAACATTCATTTTACGAGAGTGGATCTGGATAATTCTTGCTCTAGCTTCTTCATTTGGATGAGGGAACTCAATTTTTCTATCCAGTCTTCCTGATCTGAGCAAAGCTGGATCAAGAATATCAGGTCTATTAGTGGCTGCAATAACCTTGATTCTGTCATCTGAGCTGAATCCATCAAGCTGGTTCAGCAACTCAAGCATGGTTCTTTGGACTTCTCTATCTCCGGTCTTTTCAGAGTTAAACCTTTTAGTACCAATGGCATCAAGCTCATCAATGAAGATGATAGCAGGGGCTTTTTCTCTAGCAAGCTCAAAGGCATCTCTGACAAGTTTGGCTCCGTCTCCGATGTACATTTGAACAAGCTGAGGTCCTCCTAATTTCAAAAAGCAAGCGTCAGTTTGGGCAGCACAAGCTCTGGCTAGAAGAGTTTTTCCAGTTCCTGGAGGTCCATGCATGAGGAGTCCCTTTGGAGGTCTAATACCTATATTGTCAAATCTATCTTTATGAGTCATTGGGAGGACAATAGCTTCCATTAATTCTTCGATCTGCTTGTCAAGTCCACCGATATCCGTGTAGTTCTCAGTTGGCTTTTCATCTAACTCCATAGCTTTGACTCTTGAGTCATATTCAGCAGGGAGCTTGTTGAGAATGAGGTAAGAGTCTTTATTGACTCCAATAAGATCTCCTGGATTGAGTTCCTCAGGCTCTACAAGTCCGATAACGGGGAGATAGATAGTCTGCCTCGTGGTAGTCTTTATGACACAACTCTTGCCTGTCCTAGCAGAATCTTCATCAACTGCTGCTCCTTCTTGCTCTTCTTCATCTTCCGGAGGAAGGTCAAGCATCTCAATGAAATTACTGACAAGATGAGGAAGCTGCTTGTTGAGCTTAACCTTCTTCTCATTATCTTCAATCTGAAGATTGACGTTCTTGAGCTGATGGCTCAAGGTGGTAGTCTCCCTCTTCATGCTCTTAATATTGTTCTGAAGTATCTTGGTCTTCTCTGCAATCTCTTCGTTAGTCATTGACTCGAGGTCTTTGATGACATCACCATCGTCTCCCCAGACATCTTTGCTGTCAGTTGTCTTAGACATTTTGGAATATTAATTATAATTATGAATTCTACCAAAATCTTAAAAATAGGGGTTTTGGGGTTTTGGGGTTTTGGGGTTTTGGGGTTTTGGGGTTTTGGGG